GGTGATCCTCGGTATGCTGGTGACATCCTCCCTTGCTGATTTTGTTCGGTTCCAAGCGACGGTCGCTGCAGCACCCACTTATACACACAGCCATTTTTAACGCAGGAACGTGTGCATTTGGATTGTGCACTCCCATTTACATCATGGTCAGCAGAGTTCCCTTTTACACCAGAGTCTGCAGTGTCTCCCTTTACGCCACGGTCTGCAGAGTTCCTCCTTGCCCTGTAAGTGGGAACTCTACAGACTCTGATGTAAAGGGGAACTCTGAGGATTCTGATGCAAGGGGGAACACTTTCAACTCTCATGTATGTGGAACTCTGACTCTGAGGTAAAGGGGAACGCTGCAAACTGTGATGTAAGGGAGAACTCTGAAGACTCTGATATAAGGAGGAATGCTTAAAATGCAGATGTAAGGGGAGGTCTCTGGTGACCAGAGACCACCTTACATCAGAGTTTCTCTTTACACCAGACTTCGTAGTTTCTCCCCTTACATCACAGTCTGCAGGGCTCCCCTTTACATCAGTCTGCAGAGTTCCTCTTACATGAGAGTCCAAAGTGTTCCCCCTTATATAAGCATCCCCCTTACATCAGAATCCCAAGAGTTCCCCTTTACATGGAACCCTGCAGACTCTGATGGTAAAGGGGAACTTTGAAGACTCTAATGTAAGGGGGGCTCTGGGAACTCTGATGTAAGGGGGAACTCTGTGGACTCTGTAAGTGGGTCTGCTGACTCCTGTCTTCTGTTCTGCTGACCACTGTACACTGGCCTGATAACCCTCACACACTGCCCTATTGACCCCTGTCCTTTGCCCTGCTGACACCTGTACACTACCATGCTGACCCTCTTAGGGGCTCATTTAAACTTGCTTCGACTTCAACAAACATTAAAGCACCTACCTCCTCAACATTCTTTTTTTATGTGTTTTTCATGCATCAGTGATGCTTTTTTGAACCTTTAATGAAGCTTGGCAGATGCCCTGTGTGTTGATATCTTATACCTGCAATACCTCCAAAACAAAAATAAAATAAAAGCCTCTCAAAAGCTGCAGGTGCTGTAAACTAGCTTTGTCATAGACTTCTATGGAGGCTTTGAAGATGCTTTGAAGCACCATGAAAGTGACATGGGGTATAATTTTTGAAGCAAAGCAAATACAACGTGTGAACAGGACTGTAAGCTAACCATTTTATTTAATGACAGGGGCTCTAGCATTCAGAGTGCTTTAAAAAAGCGTCTCCAATGCCACATTTTAAACCAAGTTTAAATGAGCCCTTATACTCCCCTGCTGACCCTTGTGCACTGCTCTACTGACCCTTGCAATCCGCCGTGCTGATCCCCATACACCTCCCTGATAACCCGTACACTGCCCTGATAACCCGTACACTGCCCTGCTGACCCCATACACTGCCCTGATAACCCGTACACTGGCCTGCTGACCCCCGTACACCGCTCTGCTAAGCCCCGTACACTGCCCTGATAACCCCGTACACCGCCCTGATAACCCCGTACACCGCCCTGATAACCCCGTACACCGCCCTGATAACCCCGTACACCGCCCTGATAACCCCGTACACTGCCCTGATAACCCCGTACACCGCCCTGCTGAACCCCGTACACCGCCCTGCTGACCCTTGTGCACTGCTCTACTGACCCTTGCAATCTGCCCTGCTGATCCCCATACACCGCCCTGCTGACTCCCGTACACCGCCCTGCTGACTCCCGTACACCGCCCTGCTGACTCCCGTACACCGCCCTGCTGACCCCCGTACACCACCCTGCTGACCTCCGTACACCGCCCTGCTGACCTCCGTACACCGCCCTGCTGATCCCCGTACACCGCCCTGCTTACCCCGTACACCGCCCGGCTGACCCCCGTACACTGCCCTGCTGACACCCGTACACCGCCCAGCTGACCCCAGTACACCGCACTGCTGACCCCAGTACACCGCACTGCTGACACCCGTACACTGCTCTGCTGACACCCGTACACCGCCCAGCTGACCCCAGTACACCGCACTGCTGACCCCAGTACACCGCACTGCTGACCCTCCTACATCGCCCTGCTTACCTCCGTCCACCGCCCAGCTGACCCTGTACATTGCCCTGCTGACCCCCGTACACCGCCCTGCTGACCCCCGTACACCGCCCAGCTGACCCTTGTACACCGCCCAGCTGACCCCCGTACATCGCCCAGCTGACCATCGTACACCGCCCAGCTGACCCCCGTACACCGCCCAGCTGACCCTCGTACACCGCCCTGCTGACCCCCGTACATCGCCCAGCTGACCCCCGTACATCGCCCAGCTGACCCCCGTACACCGCCCTGCTGACCCCCGTACATCGCCCTGCTGACCATCGTACACTGCCTGCTGACCCCCGTACACCGCCCAGCTGACCCCCGTACACCGCTGACCCCAGTACACCGCCCTGCTGACCCCCATACACTGCCCAGCTGATTTCCCATCCCGCTCCCTCATATCCTGTTGGGATTGTTCATACGAGTTTGTATCATCACCGGTCCTGACAACAACCCAAATTTTAGATTTAATAATAATAAACAGAAGAAATATAGAGGAAGAATCTCCTCAGCGCGACACAAACAGCAACAAATCCTGACAGAGGTTCTAATCCCTCCTACCTGACCTACCTACCTATGATGGACATTCTTCACTCCTGCCCGGACAGACACTGCAATCTTTGATTTCTTTTTGTTGCTCAGTTACAAAAACCAATCAGAATTCATTTAGCTGAAGTCAGCAAATACCAGATGAATTCTGATTGGCTGCTCTGTGTCCCAGATATTCACACACAGATGACCAAGCCAGGCTTCGAGGTGGCGCGCTGAGCTTCCTCCAGCAGGGGGAGCTGTCAGCTGCGGCGCCGCTCTTTCTCGGCACTCCTCTCTATGGTGTGTGCGCTGTGTGAGGCCGCTGGAGGCTTCTTCCCGGGAGTGCGACAGACAGAGCGCAGAGCATCATGGGGAAGCGCGACAACCGGGTGGTGAGTACAGATCCCGGGGGTGGTCGGGGCACCGAGTTCACGTTCATACGATGTACTGGGAGCGTATATATGGAGCCCAGTGACAGAGAGGAGACTGTGCTGTGTGGTGGGTGTCATAGCACCGCCATTATCCGTCACCATGGTGATAGAGCACTGCTGGGGGGGAGTCCAATGTTGTGTCACCCTGGGGTGATTGTGTGCTGGGCAGACAGAGGCTGTCCCATCTATTATTTACATGTCTCACACAGAGAGCAGCCCATTCAGCTGTGGGCTCCAATCACGCTCTGCGTTTCCTGAATGCGCAACAAAACGCACAGGAAACGCAGTGCAAACGCATGGTGCCATTAACCCCTTGATGCCGGCTCTACGTATATATGCGTCCCTGTATACGCAACTTACAGTGCTCAGAGCGACGGGGATCCCAGCTGGCGGGGATAGGGAGCTGTCCAGTCGTGTCAGCCAATCACAGCGGTCACATGACCTGAATGCCAAGCTTTTAAAACGCTCTAATCCTTGGCGCTGAGCGCACGCAAACGTACAGCCTGTCGGCGGCTGGGCCTTGAGCCGCATATCTGCGTAACCAATGTAAACAAAAGATGTGCTGAGAGAATACGCACCCTGCGCTCTGCCGCCGGCGCATTTACCAGAGCCTCGTCAAAACATCCTGATTGATGCTTGTGGTTGGGAGCTTTCCGATCATGTGACAGCCAATCATAGCAGTCACATGACCCTAAACCCCGCCCCCGATTAGCGCCAAGGGTTAAAGTAGTTGTAAATGTTTCATGCTGCAAGGTAAAACCATAGTGTGCTGCTATGTATCGCATGCCACAACATTAGAAGGACTCCATTCACATTTGTGATTTGTCATGCCACTTTGGGGTCCAAAATCGCATGACAAGTCCCCCCCGTGTTTCCAAATGGGTACCGTTCATATCTGTGCGACTTCAAAGTAGTTCCTGCGCTACTTTGGTCTGACTTTCATGTGACTTGAGGGCCATAGACTTCAATGTAAACCCTCCAAAGTCGCACCTGAATGTTGTACATGCAACTTGTGTGCGACTTTGTACAGCAGAAACAAATATCCTTGGTCAAAGCCAAAGTCGCACTCATCCAAAGTCACATGACAGATCCCCCCCATGTTTCCCAATGGGTACCATTCATATCTGTGTGACTTCAAAGTAGTTCCTGCACTACTTTGATCCGACTTTCATGCAACTTGAGGCCCATAGACTTCATGTAAACCCTGCAAAGTCGCACCTGAATGTTGTACAGCAGAAACAAATATCCTTGGTCAAAGTCGCACTCATCCAAAGTTGCAATGAAAATCGCACAATTTTGAAGTCACGCAAATGTGAATGGAGTCTTACGTGAGAACGAAGCTCTCCAGCGGCTCGCTGTCACCACTGTAGAAGGCTTCCATCTTCATCCAGTCTTCCTCCTGGGCGAACGGCTGAGCCACCAATGACGTCACTCCTACGCATGCGTGCGGGAGTTTCAGCCACGGCACATAAATCATTGGTTGGGAGCTGCTGATCGGCTTGTGCTGTAGTGAATGACAGCGTAGGTGGGCAGGTGCACCCCCTACCTGGAAATGCTGGATCACATACATGTACATAGAAGAGCTGTCGGCCTGCAGTGTATCTACATGGGCCGGTTGGCAAGTAGTTAAAGGAGACGTACAGCCAAAGCTCTTTCTGTGGATCCTGGAGTGAGGTTCATTCTGCACTCCTGTGACCTGTTATTAGCCGGCAGCAAGCTAAAGACCGCTATCAGCTGACGTCTCTCAGCCAGTGTAGGCTAGGGAAAGATCCCGACTTTAACCGCCTCCCGCCCGGCGTATAGTACAATGACGGGCGCAAGGCAGTTCTCTCGTTCTGGGAGGACATCATATGACGTCCTCCCGCTCTAACCCTCGGCTCGATCATGTGATCAGCTGTGTCCAGTCACAGCTGATCACATGTAAATAGGAAATGCTGGTTATCGACATTTCTCTCCTCACGAGCTGTCACGCTGACAGCTCGTGAGGAGAGGAGAGCCGGTAATTGGCATTCCTCGGAGGGGACATGTACACTGATCATCAGAGCACTGATCGGTGTGCCCTGGTGATCTGTGTAGCCCCAGCAGCGCCACCTGTCAGTGTCCATCAGTGCTCATCCATACCACCTGCCAGTGTCCATCAGTGCCAGCTCTCAGTGCTCATCCATGCCACCTGCCAGTGCCCATCAGTGCCACATATCAGTGTCCATCTGAGCTGCCTTTCAGTGTCACCCGTCAGTGCCACCTTCAATGCCAGTCAGTGCTGCCTATCAGTGCCAGGCAGTGCCGCCTATCAGTGCCCATCAGTGATGCCTGTCCATGCCCATCAGTGCCTCCTCATCAGTGCCACCTATCAGTGTCCATCAGTGCAGCCTATCAGTGCCCATCACTACAGCCTCGTTAGCGCACAGTGAAGGAGAAAAATCACTTATTTACAAAATTGTATAACAAAAACTAAAAAAATTTTTTTTTTTTTTTTTTTTTTTCCAAAATTTTCAGTGGTTTTTGGTTTGTTTAAGAAGAAATAAAAACCCCGAGGTGATTAAATACCACCAAAATAAAGCTCTATCTGTCACCAAAAAATGATAAAAATTTCATATGAGTACAGTGTTGCATGACCGCACAATTGTCATTCAAAGTGTGACAGCGCTGAAAGCTGGAAATTTGGCCTGGGCAGGAAGGGGGTATAAGTGCCCGGTAGGCTTGTGGTTAAAGTCGGGATCCCCCTTGCGTCTGGCTCAGCCTCTCAGCGATCTGCTGGTTTCTTTGTATGTATGGATTGCCTGGGTTGTTACCAACATGTGGTGAAAATGTCATGGCAATAGCACCTTTAGAAATATATTTACCTAGAAAAATGGTGACGTGTTGAATAGTTACTTTACCTGCTGTATATGTTATTATAGGCGCTGCCTGGTCTGTGCTGTGAAAATCAAAATAATATAAAAGTTGTGATCAAAACAAATAACATTGACATCAAAACATAACAAGGTGAAGAATCAGATAACTAAAAATGAAGTCCATAATATTGTGCTTCATCAATCATTCAGACCAGGGGGTCCCCAAACCCCGGCCCGGGGGCCACATCCGGCCCGTCTTTGTGTTTTATACGACTCGCAGCTCACCCAGACTCTGCCGATACAGCATTGCCGGTCTGCTTGCTTTTTTAAAATCCCTTCAAGGTAATTTCTCCCAGTCTGTATTACTCAGCAGCACATAAAGCCACCCCCCCCCCCCCAATTCTGGGAAGCTGTGCAGTAATTGGCTACTAGGACCGCTGGCGTCCTAGCAACCCATGATGTCATCAGTGCAGCATGTCCTGCCCGCTGTTTATATTAGCGATCCTTCTGCATTCATTGGCAGCGGGCGGGAGCCAGGATGTGCGGAAAGGCTCTGATGGGAACACGAATGTGCCGAAAGGCTCTGATGGGGATACGGATATGCAAGGAGTCTCTGATGGAGACACGGATGTGCAAGGGTTCTCTGATGGAGACACAGGCATGGAATGAGACTCTGATGGGGACACAGAGATGGGAGACTCTGATTGGGGACACTGATATGGAGGAGACTTTTATTTGGACACAGATGTGCAGAGAGACACGGATGTGCGGAAAGGCTCTGATGTGGACACAGATGTGCGGAAAGGCATGATGGGGACGCGGGTGTGCTTTCGGCTCCGATGGGGACGCGGGTGTGCTTTCGGCTCCGATGGGGACGCGGGTGTGCTTTCGGCTCCGATGGGGACGCGGGTGTGCTTTCGGCTCCGATGGGGACGCGGATGTGCTTTCGGCTCCGATGGGGACGCGGATGTGCTTTCGGCTCCGATGGGGACGCGGGATGTGCTTTCGGCTCCGATGGGGACGCGCGGAAAGGCTCTGATAGGGACGCGGATGCGCGGAAAGGCTCTGGTGGGGAAGCAGGCATGCTAGGAGACTCAGATGGGGACATGAATGTATGGGAAGCTCTGATGGGGACGCGGACATGCTTTCGGCTCTGATGAGGACGCGGACATGCGGAAAGGCTCTGATGAGAATTGAGCATCTTGAGGAGGACACTGACGTCAGGATGAACACTGATGTAAGAGGGGACTTTGTTGTAATGGTGGACTCTGATTTGGATTCTGATGTAAGGGTAAACTCAAATCCTTTCCTTGTTCGGATATCTCCTTCGGTAAAGTATGGAAGGAAAAAAGAAAAGTAGACAGCGAGTGCGACCTGTTTAATGAACAATGGAGCATAAAGTACTTTTTTGTACAAACAGGCGATAAAGCCTTGTGTCTCATATGCAACAAAACTCTTGCAGTTTTGAAGGAGTACAATTTGTGTTGGAACTATGAGACAAAAAATGAACAAAGTTATTCCAAATTCACAGGAGTACAGCGTTCAGAAAAATTTCAATCGATGCAACGCAATTTGCTGCCCCAAAAGCTCTGTTTACACAAAATAAAAGTGAAAATGAAGCTTTAACCAGGGCCAGTTACAAAGGCTAAAAGAGAAAAGCCATTCACTGGCGGAGATCTCATAAAGGAGTGTATCATGGAAGCAGTGGAAGAGTTTATGCCCAGAAAAAGCAAATCTTTTCAAAGCTGTATGTCTTTCCCCAAATAGAATTGAGGATATAGGAAGCAATATAGTTCATCAAATTGCAGAAAAAGCAAAAAAAAAAACATGCAGGTGCATTCTCTTGCACTTGATGAATCAACTGATGTGTGTTATATGTCACAACTTTTAGTGTTCATTCGTGGTGTTGATGGTGAATTTAATGTCACACAAGAATTGGCATCAATGCATAGCATGCACAGCACAGTAACTGGAGAAGACATCTTCAAAGAACTGCAAAAAACTGTGACCGAATATAACCTGGAGTGGAATAAACTGTAATGTGTGACAATTGATGGAGGAAAAAACATGTCTGGGGCAAAACAAAAGTTTGGTTGGACAAATCACAAAAGTTGGTGGATTCTCAAAGCCCATGTTTCTGCATTGCATTATCCATCAATTAGCTTTGTGTGGCAAGTATGTGGGTATGCCTTGCGTTCTGAAACCTGTTGTTTCACCAGTAAATTTTATTTGGTCTCGGGCAGTTTCGTGATTTTCTGAAAGAAACTGATTCAAAGTACATAGACTTGTCTTATTACACAGCAGTTTGATGGCTAATGCCCCGTACACACTAAAATTTTCATACGAGGACCGATCATCCAAAAATCGGATCGATAGTACACCGCTTTCGAGAGCCGATCACGACGATTTTTGCGGCAGTATCTGAAGGGACAAGTGCAAAAATTTTTCTCATATGATACCAGATCGTGCGATTTTTGTTTTAATCAGTACAGTAGTCCGAAAATAAAATACATGACATCACTTTCGAAATTCTTTTGTATGAGAATTTTCATATCTTTAGTAACCTTTTCACTAGTCGTGAGACTAGCAGGTGAAAAAAAACGGGCGATTGTTTGCCCGATGTTCTCTGTACGGGGGAACAATTCTATCACGCTTTTTTTCAGCTCCGGGAAGAAATTAATTTTTCACAGAAAAGAATCGACCCGAACCACTTATCAAACATTGACTGGTTTTGGAAGTTGGCATTTTTTTTACAGATTTGACAGACCATATAAATCATTGGAATCTGAAGTTGCAAGGTGAAACAAATTTGATTTTTGACCTATTTTTGCATGTCAAGTCATTCAGGGCAAAACCGATGCTGTTTGAAGGGCAGGTGAAAGTCCATAATTTGGTTCATTTCCCATGTTGTGAAAAATTTTAATGAAGAAAGTGAAACAGATTTTCCTTCTTCATTTGCAACTGAATCATTCAGGAGCTACAAAAACAATTTCAGGAGTGCTTTTCTGATCTCGATGGGAAAGCAGATGAAATAAAACTGTTTCAAAATCCATTTGACTGCATTGCTGAAACCCTCCCAAGTCAGTTTCAGTTGGAAATTGTTGACCTACAATCAGATGACATGCTGAAAGACAGATCTAAAGAAGGACATTTGATCGAATTTTATAAATCTTTGCAGCCTGAAAAGTTTTCAAATTTGAAGCAGTTTGCTTGTAGACTTCTGTTAGTTTTTGGTACAACATACCTGTGTGAACAAACATTTTCAAAAATGAAGTATGCCAAGTCCAAATATCGAGCAGATTTATCGGATGATTACTTGAGGTCCATTTTAATAATTGGCTCCTCAAGTTCAGTGAAATTTTTAAATAAAAAATCGGCTCCATCATTTGCATTACATTTTGTGAAAGAACAGGAAGCACAAAATTCTTTTCATTCGCTTTTTCATTAGGCTGTTTATTTTAAATTGTCAGATCTGTGTTGATAGGTGCAGGCTGATTTTAATTTTGTTTAAACCCTTTATTAAAGGCTCAAGTTTATTTCAAATGTTTTTGCTTTGTTTTACTAAAGTTGTTTTTGTTTTTTTCTCTCCATCATTTTATGTCGATTTTACAAAAAAAAATCCAAGTAAAACATTGATTTATCTAAATTTTTTATTCATTCATTTTTAAAAAAAAAATTATTTTTTTTCGGTCCGCAAATATTTTGTAAAATCTACAATGTGGCCCTTGGGCTGAAAAGTTTGGAGACCCCTGATTCAGACTGTGACAAGCAGCTGTGCATTTTCATAAAGTACTTCATGATATTCCTTTGGCTGTACAGACACAGTGCTCCCCTCCTATGTGCCCACTCACTTACCAAAAGATGTGGACTCCTATATACACCGTGTTCCAAATTATTATGCAAATTATATTTTTCTCTCATTTACCTAAATAATTGATGTAAATAACAGTCAGCATAATTCTCATGTTATCAACTATTAAGAGTACAATTCACATTTTATTGAACAAACCTCCTAATGATAACAGGATTTTTGTTACACATAAAACACTTCCAATGACTGATCCCAAATTATTCCGCACAGTAAGTTTCAAAACACTTTATAGGTTGTAAAGAACTGAAAATTGTCATTTGTTGTGTTTGCAGCATATTTACTGAAATCAAAAGCTATTTCAATCGAACTTTTAACAACATTTTAACTTTTTTAAACATTTTTAACAGATCACTTACATTGTAACATAGGACCCCTTATTTGATAGCAGCTTCACAAGTCTTGCATTTATTGAACTTGTGAGTTTTTGGGACAGTTTCTGCTTGAATTTGTTTGCAAGATGTCAGAATAGCCTCCCAGAGCTGCTGTTTGGATGAAAACTTCCTCTCACCCTCATTAGATCTTTTGCTTGAGGATGCTCCAAAGGTTTCTCAATAGGATTGAGGTCAGGGGAGGATGGAGGCCACACCATGACTTTCTCTTCTCT